CCCACATGGTACTATCCTTCCTACCCAGTGGTCAACAAAGTCCAGGTAACCTGGGATAGATATTCAACTATTTTACAACTAAATATACATCTATATGTAGTCTTGTCTAAGTGAGGAAATCTCTTTAAAAATGCACATGTAAAAATGCACAACAAATTTACCTTGAAAACATTTGTATTGAGACATGACTCCATCCATCCCCCAGTTGCAGGAGGATGACTTCTCTGTGTTGCTGACCCTGGGGTGTGGATTCACTGACAACGGATCTGTTCAGACGGTGGTCTTCATGCTGAACGGCCGGGTTCTTGGTGAGACATATAAACTCTCAGCTCTTTCATGTGTGCAAATGGAATATTAGTAACTAGTCTGTAAGATAAGAGCATGTATCATCGTCCTGGCTGGATGTCAGTGCTTGGCACAGAGGCAGGTAGTCTTGTTTTTTTCATTTGTTGCTATCCATTGTGCCCCCTTCCATCCACAACCCATCTCTGCAAGGTCCTACTCGACAGTCCTAGCTAGTTCAAATCATTGCTTGCTCCCCCCCTCCCTTCTTCCCCCCAAATTAGTGCCAATCTGGGAGGCCATAGCTTTGGCATTATCATGAAGAGCCCCAGCCATCAGTTTTGCCCTTTACATAAGCATGGAAAATCTAGGTTGACCAGAAGCAGAAGGCATTATAATATTGTCACAAAGCTGCCAAGAAATGGGTGTCTATGTTGTAGATTCCATATCTTCCCTGTCTGACAAAAGCTTCAGTTTTGCTACCAAAGACATTTAATAGTTTCACTTTCCATGTACGTTCACAGAACCAGAACATCCATTTGAGGAGGATGTAGAACACGAGCCCAAGCTGCCCTACACCAGCTGTCCCCACCTGGACATGAACGTGGGCCAGCGCAGGTTCCTGTACCAGCGGTGCGGCCTGCAGGTCCACCGGCTGAACCAGGCGGCGCTGCTGCACGACTGGCACCAGCAGCGCATGGAGGGCTTCCAGGTGCATGGGGAGACTCCTCCACAGAGAGACTGCTGATTGGTCGTCTGTCCTTTTGCCATTGTG